ATACATTAATGAAATTATATAAAAAATGAGAATTTTTAAATAGTTGATTTGATATTAACATTGATATATTTTTTTTCCAAATTTTTATCATATCTTCAAATTTATATTTTATTCAAAAATAAAATCATTATTATTTTTCTTAAAAACACATAAAATCGTATTATAATATCGACAGAGACAAATAATAAAATAAAACATTAAAATCGAGATGTGTTTCGCTGCATTGCACGAGTACTCCTCTAATTTTATTAAATGAGTTAAATTTAGACTTTAGTTTCTTATTTAATTATACCAACAAATATAATTTATTGTTTAAATTTTGAACCAATGATAACAAAACACGTATGGTAATTAATGGAAGTTAAGTTTTATATAAATGAGGTTTATCAAGTGTTCCAATTAATGTGTCTTCTTCAGACGTATCTGACCAAACCAAGCTCCTATCACGAGCCGACTACCGAAAGGTCGATCGCTGAAAAGAAAAGAAAAGGTAGAAACTAGTACGATGAATAAAACACTCGACTAAGGCAGAACTATGACCAAATACTTATGCTCGACATTCCATCCGGCAATAAGCCACTCGGCCTCGTCTTCTAACGAAGATACCCTACCAATGACGTACCTAGTCTTCCACTTTCTATCATTGACAACGATATTTTGCACTAGGACCCTACCTCTCTTGTATATCCCTGACACAGAGGCTGTGTCGATGATTAGCCTCCAGTTTCGCTTCGCTGAGTACGCTCTTAGAAACTCGTGGACGGTAAAGGGGGATTCCCGTGCAAACCGATTCGATTTCTCAAGTAACTAGTTCAGTTACCAAGCAACTAGATCAAATCTTCGATTGACATGTGACAAAAATCTACCGATAAAATCACTTTTCTAGCGAAATTTGAAATTCAAATAAAGTATTTTATATTTAAATCTTGGGGGGGAAAACTATTTTGTTAAAAATTCACACCCTTGACCGACAATGATATTTTCCTCAACGACAACGTCTGCAATTAGGATTCATATGACGAACGACTATGTTATTTGTCATCGTGGTTATCTATGACCACAAAGTCCTTCGACCCCCGGTCAAGGATCCTTAATCTTCTATTCGTGATCGACGATTATATATATATCCATGATCGAAGTTTCCTTCGAGGACGATATACTAACTACGCAGACGCATTTATCACGTCAACTGTTATACATGTTTCTTTTATTGCAGGAATAAAGACGAATGCAATCATTAACCATAGAGGGATCATAACAGAAATCCAAGATCCAAGACATTCAATATTAACGATTTTCTTCATTCAATGGCAATGAAAGTCGACCTTTAGGTTAGTCCTACACACCAGCTATAAAAGGCAAGAAGATCACAAGAGACAACCCCCAAATCATCGGATTCTATACGCATAAGAAGTCTCCCAGCAAAAGCAACTTTCGTTCTTTACTGTTTTCCACGATCGACGTGTTATTTTGTTTACATCATCATAATTGTTGTCAATGACGACATCCTTGTTTGAGGTCCATAGAACATCGACGATCTCCTGTATTGTCCGTTGTTTTTTCCATCGTTTAAGAGTGTTTTCGCGTCACCAATTCTCTGTCTCATTTGGTTAAGCTCTAGAAACAAACTCAAATTATATTTAATGTAAATTTTTGCATAAACAGTGAGCATGAAGGAAACAATAAAGCAGATCGTAATGCACCTTCTTTCAGAATGAAGGATGGGGTTTTGACTTGTACAAGAGAGGATATGACAAACAACTTGATAAACAAGATACTGATCCAACAAGGAAGTTGTCGTTGAGGACATCTTAAGATATTGTTGATAGCTTAGGGTCCGTTTACCTAATTGCTTACCCGGTAAACGCTTACCGGTAAGAGTCAACACTATGATTTATTTTGATGCGTAAGATTATAGTATACCAAAACATATCAAATGCAACAATTTAGTGGGTAAGAATTTACCTGGGTAAGAGTCGTCATCCTCACTTATCGGACAAGACTCTCTATCATTCTCATCGCTCTTATCCAGTAAGATTTTCGACCCTTCTCATGTTCATCCGATAAAGAAATTTATCCGGTAAGTACTTACCAAGTAAGTGTTTAGTAAACGGCCCCTTAGTATCATCAAATGCCGCCTTAGATCATGTCTAACTCTATCTTGATCTTCAGCTACTTATTTGATATCGCTGAAGTTTCTTTGGTCTGAGTTTGTCTTACAGATTGTTACTTTCTAAGTACTAACATAACATTCAACAAGCACTAAACAGGCTCACTCACTGATATTTGTTGAGAAAGAATTTAAGTATACTTTCAAACACGAAGTAAAAAAGAATCATCATCAAGTCATTGAAAGAGTTTGAATCAACATATGTTTGTATATCTTATTTAGCTATAATAATTATGACTGTATAATAATCCGTTTTTGTAAAGTTCGACATTTGATGATAAAAAAAATAAGAATCGTTCTTGAAAGGTTTGTTCTTCTACCCTTCGTTTTATATTTGCGTCAATTCCTTAATCGTCTTTATTTTTTGTGTGTTATTTCTTCAATTACTTATTTCTCAGGGTTTCAATATGATTCGGTTTCGTCTTCGTCATCTTCCGAAAAAATTGTGTATTTGTACATTTAGAGTAAATGAAACTAAAAACGATTGGTTCGACTTAAAATAGTCTTTATGTTGATCGGGATTTTCTCAAGCCTTGGCTAGGCCAGGATTGGGACCAAGAACCAGGATTTCATAGGGTTTTCACACCAGGCCTGAACGAGCCTTAGACAAGACACTACAACAAAATTGGGTTTATAGGACGCCCCCAATCTCTAAGTATCTCAATAGACCGCTTTATAGAACTTAATTTATAGAACCAGAATATAAAGTGTTCTATCTAAAGGTGTTGTAATTAGTTTATATGACTCTTTTAGGCGTCTTAACAAGTTTTTTTACGACATATTTAATACAAAGTGTCGCATTAGCAACTTTATAAGACACTTTTGAGAAAGTGTCCTATAAACTCAATTTTTTATAAGATATTTGTTTTTATAGGATAGTTTTTCAAATAATGTCATATAAAGTTGTTAATGGAACGCTTTATATTAAAAGTGTCCTAAAAAACTTATTACGACATTGAAAAACGCCATATAAACTTATTACAACGCCTTTAGATAAGACGCTTTATTTTTTTGGTCCTATAAACTAAATACCTATAAAGAGGTCTATTAAGACGCTTAAAAATTGGGAGTGTCCTATAAACCCAATTTTGTTGTAGTAAGACTTCAGGCTCATTAGTCCCATACTTTTTCAGGATAGGTCCAGGCCGGATTTGAACCTTTTTGTACATCTCTAAATACAATGAAACATGGAGAACTTTAAGAATGCATTTGGTATGCGAACAATACGGACGGACAAAAATAGGGTAGACGATTGTAAAATTGTTGATGGTTTTAATTTGACATGAATAAGGTTGTTAACTATTCGAGCTCAAGCTCAAGATACAAGTTTACTTATCTCGGGTTCAAGTCGAACACAAAATAAACCTCGTTTAACTCAATGTTCGACTCGCCTTATTCAAATTTTGATTAAATTTCAAGCCTAGTCGAGCCATATTTGCACATACACTTTTATGAGCCAAACGAGTTTCATAAATCATACAATCGAAATATTAAAATTACCCAGTTCGAGTCAATCAACAAGCTAATTGATCTCGAGTTCGAGTCTATAAATGAGCTTATAAACCTTGAGCTTAGATATAATGTATAACTCAAATTTGTTAAACATCCATCGAGCTTGAACTTGAACATTTAAAATATTCGAGCTCAAACTCGAGTACTACTTTACAAAAGTTATCTGCAATGTGTGTCCTTAAGATGCATTTAGTACAGGATTGTAAACCTACAATAATGACACACACCGAGGAGCTAGAACACCTTTGTTTGAGTACGATCAGGGTCGTCCCCAGGGGAGGGTGGGCCCGACGTACGCCCACAAGAGACATATTTTTAAGTATATGATATGATCAAAAAAGAAGTTAGCATTACATTAGGGGCCCAAGCATGTATCATTTAATTACATTGGATAAAAAATACCTAAAAAATTAATTGGTTGTGCATTTCATAGTACTGTTTTTGTTATTCTAAGTTGTTTATCTACTACTAAAATCTAAAACTATTTTGCCTAAAAATAATGATATATTCTTCATCATTCATCTCTCATTGACTCTTGATTATTTCATTCACATGATTTTTATTTTTCTATTAGAATATAGTAGATTTTTCTTGTTATTAACTAAGAAAACTCTTACCTTTTAGAAAAGATTATCAACCATATGAAACGATCCAACTTATATATATATTTAGGATTTCAAACTACCTTTGTTTTTTTTTCATACACTTAATATTTGGTACTAAGGAGTGAATATTGTATGAAGGTAATTTGAAATCCTAAATATAGATATGAATTGGATCGTCTCATATGGTTGATGATCTCGTCCAAGCCTATAAAATGTCAGAAATGGCCACGAGTACGATCAAAACATTTGATCATGGTCTTGTTAACACGAGCATCCAACAAAGGATCTAGCCCCGATTGCTAACAAACTCATAAAGACCCCAAAAACTGTCCAAATTTGTACACCGATCCCTAAGATAAAATGCTACATATCTTCAGATACAAATATTGCAGAATCAAAAGTGGCTCTAGTGTATGATAAGATGAACAATCGCTGAGAAATGGGAACTTTATTAACCCCTTCACATCTCCAATTTCTGACAAAATCAAAATATAAAACTGAATAGTAATGTGACCTAAAATCAAAATCAAAATCAAAATCAGGTGTAATAATATATGTAATAAAGAAAATAGTAAATAGATATCATTTAGCAAGTAATAAATTGAAGAACAGATTGATAATATAGACCAAACAAATTCATTCGGAGATTCAAAATCCCCCAAGATCTACCAAGTAAACAACATCAGTTTGCAAACAAAATTCACATAAATCAGAACAAAAAAACAACAATCAATCGGAGATCAGAGACAACGACATACCGTAATTGAAAAAATTCACGAAGAGTAGGCTTTGACGTTGTGAAAGAAGGCCGCAGAGCAGAGAATGGAAGCGATGAAAGCGAAAATTCCAAAACCAATCATCAGCGAGATCCCAGCAACAATTAAATCCATCAAAAGTTGTATACTCACTCCCATCATCGTCGTCGTCGTCGTCTTCTTCTTTAATCTCTATCCTTCACACTATTTTGGCAAATCATATGAAGCAAACAGAGGATTTGGAGAAGAAAGCGATGGATGTTTCAGGAAGGTGAATAGCAATAGCAAGCACCAGATGACGATATCTTCGGTGCTCTTATATGGCAAAATCTAGAGAGCTTTAGCCTCTTTTCCAGATTTAAAATTGATAAAAGTCGAAGAACGTACAAATTCTATTGCATAGTTTACAAGCTACTTAAGTGATGCTGCTATGGGTTTGGAAATTTTTGCAATGGCAAATGGTTTTTCTTATAGGCCAGTTTACCAAATGGTTATCCGGTAAGCGTTTACCAATAGAAGTCAACACTATAATTTATTTTGATGCGTAAAATTTTAGTACATCAAAACATATCAAATGCAACAATTTACTGGGTAAGCGCTTACTTGAGTAAGAGTCGTCATTCTCATTTACCGGGTAAGACTCTTCATCCTTCTCATTGCTCTTACCCGGTAAAATTCTTGGTCCTTCTCATGTTCATTCGATGAGAAAATTTATGCGTTAAGCACTTACCAAGTAAGTGTTTGGTAAACGGCTCCTAAATATATTTTGGACTTTTATATTTTCAACTAATTATAGTGTTGTTATTGTGGTCTATTAGGGCTTGTTTGGTTCAGACATGGGAATGAAAATGAGAATGACAAGGAATGATTATTGCATTGATGTTGTTTGGTTAATACTGGGAAATCATTATCATTATCATAGATGTTGTGTGGTTACTAAGCATATATAATAACTGAAATTTTGTTTTATAGCATTGTATTACCATTTTATCATTTAAACATAACTTCAAAAATAACAAAAAAGAAAACACAATACAAAGTATGTTTCATCCAACTTCAAAAATACAATACAATACATTTCGATGTTTCAAGCGATTTCAAAAATACAGTATCATATAAACATAACTTCAAAAAACACAATAAAAAGTATGTTTCATCCAATACAATACATTTCGATGTTTTAACCGACTTCAAAAATACAATATAATTGGATGTTTCAACCGAATTCAAAAATACAATACAATTCCAAAAAGAGGCTTACATAGCCTACCAACTTCAAAATGCATACCAAAATATTATGTTTAAGGTCCAAATTCATTCATTAATAGGATACAAGAACCCAAGCACGTATGATCTTCTGATGTGAGTTGGCAATGTAAACAAGACCTTAACTTTGGCGGGTTCATTATAGCAAATCTCAAGAGATTTACCAATATCACCGGTAGATATTCCAATACTAAGAAGTTCATTCATGACTTCTTGCATCTTCTCACCACTCAAAGAATCGGATTTCGTAGCAACGGTCAAAACGTTAGCAGTAGCAGCATATTGTGACATCATTTGACCACAAATAGACTCAAACTTGAAATTAAATTCATCTAACCTCGTGTCAATGGTATTTTGAAGTGAAGGTGATTTCTTGTTCTTGTAAATTTCCCTTCTAGGTGAAAGTTTTTTTCGCTTCTTTGATTTGATAGTGGTTGATGAATTAGGAGATCCTTTTGCATCTGCTTCTTGTTCACCTTCACTATCAGAAGAACACAAAAACACATTCTTGTTGTTACTACTAACCTCACATGTTTGTGATATATCCTCAGCTTTTAGCCTTGTCGCTCTATCTCTACCCTATACCAAGTCCAATTTTCGCAAATATGGAAATTTGAAGTTCCACAACCCAGTTGCATTCTTATGAGTTTACAAAAATAAAAAATAAAACGATATTATGAGAACAAAAAAAATACAATTAAAAAAAGTAGTAGTTTCATGACCATACCTTGCACCAATCATCATACCATTGCTTCTCACAATTAATCTTATGCTCCACATCATCCCATTGACACCCACTTTGCATTAACATTTCAGAAAGTGGATTATATTTGTTTTTAAGATATTTTATCCGAGAGTCGATGTGAGGGATAACTTCCTTATCAAAATTTGGTAGYCTTTRGACCAACCTCTTATGCACTTCAATCATGTAGCCATTTTTGAATCCACCATCTACCTTCCATAAGGGATCACAAGAAAGTTCTTGTAAAACATTGGCCAATGCTTCTCCTTCCTCGTCATTCCAATATATTTTGTTTTCCCCCCTTCCATTATTCACGCTCACATGAAGATGTAGCCATTTCTAAACAACATAATAAAACATAAACCATATTGTTTAATATGGCATAATGTCAAATACGATAATAAAACATAATGTCAAATACGATAATAAAACATAATGTCAAATACCGCATAATAAAACATATTGTTTAATATGACATAATAAAATATAATGTCAAATACAAGATAATAAAACATAATGTCAACATAAAAAATCCAAAAACAAGTACAATCATGAGAAAGTCTATCTACTTCTCCATGCATTAAACATATTGGTAGACATAGTATTTCTAAATGCTAGCCACTCATCGGTTGGACTAATGTTTGTAATGTATTCGACTGCATTACTTTCATCCTCGCTATTTGTTTCTTCTTCTTCTTCTTCTTCTCCTTCGTCTTCAAGGACCGACTCTTGGGGGTAATGGCTCATAAACTTTCGAATCAAGTTGTGTAGGAGGCAAGACGCCATTATAATTTGAACTTGGGTTTCAATTGGGAAGAATGAGGGGGATGCAAGCATCTTCCATCTTCCTTTCAACAATCCAAAATATCTCTCAATCACATTCCTTGATTTTGAGTGTTTCATATTGAAATACTCCTAAACAGTGTTTGGTCGATGGCCACTAAACTCTTTTAGGTCTGTTAGCTTGTGGGCAATCTCGGCCCGTTTATAGGGCAGGTAATGTGTAACACCTTAACTCTCTTTTGCATAAAATACATATATTTTATATAACATGAAATACAAATGTACACATTTGTCCCAGAGTACACATATGGCTACATACAAAAGTAGCTACAAACCTTTTGTTCACATAATTACATAACTTGAATAACACAATTTCAAAGATCATGTACAAATTCAGCTTCCAAAAAATTCACAGATGTAAAACAATAATAATCCCCTTCACATCTTTCCTTTCCTTTAAACTTTCATATGTGCTCGATCTGTAATACACATTTTTAATAACAAACAAGGGTTAGACCATAAGGTCTAGTGAGTAATCCCATTGGTTGCTATTACAAAGTGAACATCATCAAAACATTTTAAGAAAGCCAAGCTTTGAAAAGATAATAGGTAAATATCATTTATTATAACAAATCTTCATTTGTTGCATCATATAGATGAGACAATCCCATTTCATCGCATCAAATAATAATAACACCTTCTTGGTTCATTAAGAACATAGTGTACCAAACTTATCGCATCACACACATACGAAAATCCCCAACTTGTCGCATCTCAAGGATGCGATAAATACAACTCCTGGCATCAGAAGGATGCAATAAGTAACTTTGTCGAATCCAACAAATGCGATAAATTTCAGTTGTCACATTAAACTCATTGCAACAAATCATCTCCTCGCATTAAGCAAATGCAATAAACTCCTCTTCATCGCATCTTATAGATGCGATAACATCAATTCATATGATCAAAGTTCCATTTTAACTAATAGTTGATTATGCCACCCTTATCCCAGTATACACCTCTCTTGATTATGTCATCTTTATTTCAAAATATACACCTCTCTTGATTATGCCACCCTTATTTCAAATTATATATTTCTCATGATTATGCCACCCTTATCCCAATATACATCTCTCTTGATTATATCACTCTTATTCCAATCATTTGGTAATAAATATCCAAAACCAAATTTATGCTAACAAATAGCAATTAATCATATTCGAAGACAACAAAAAACCATACAGTTCCATAATAAAAATCATTTCAAATAAGACTTGAAATAAAACTTACCTTGAAATCACAAGAAGATGATAAATTTAGACAACAACAATAATCAAATAAAAGTCATGTAACTTTCTTCTTCTTTTCTTCTATTTCTTCGAACAAGGGAACCAAACACACACACCAACTTTGTTTCTTTCTAAACTTATCTCTAACTCAAAAAGAATTAAAAGAAAAATAAATACATACATACATATATATATATATACATACATACATACATATATATATATACATACATATATGTATATATATATAGATATAGATATAGGGATAAGATCTTTTGTTAACCAAGAATATGGTGTTAACTTTGTGAACTTATTGGACCAATAAGATTCATTCTTTAGTAGATGTTACTTCAAATTTTTGATTTAATGATGAAGGGTAAATAGATAATTTTTATGTGTAAGTTTCTTTTATGGTATTTAATGATATTCATAGGTGTTCATAAGAATGTGCTCATATGTGTTCATAACCATAAGACATTCATAAGATTATGTTTATAACCATATAGCGTTCATAGGTGTTCTGTCTGCTTGGATTTTATTTTGGAGGCTGATGTTCCAGTTCTCCAGGATTTCAATGCATTTTCGGTTGTTGGTTTATTCGAATATGTGGTAGTAAGAGCTTCTATTTGTTCCTATTTAGATCTGTTCAGTTGGAATTGTCATGGTGGTTTATGTTCTTCCAAGTTCCTTCTATTTGAGCAACCAATGGGATTATTCATTTGATGGTTTATTTTAGGCATGTTTAAAAGATTTTATGATAATCAATTTGGGCTGGTCCTTTGGATCATGATTTGGGCCTTCTAAACGATTTAGTTTTCCCCTTTTTATAGTTTTGGTAATTGGGTGTTTATTTCTAAAAACAGTTTTAGAATTTGTCCGTTGCTTAGGGCTGTTTGGTATTGCTTATTTAAAACAACTTATAATTTTTTACAAAAGTCCTTATCAATTTATTATAAACTAGAATGCTTTAATTTCTTCAAAAACTCCTTATTACCGGTTTGGCACCGGTATAAACTGTTTATCCAAACGCTCAAAAGTGCTTATTACCGATGTCACACCGGAATAAATCAATAAATTGTTTTTGTAAGCAATCCCAAACACCCCTGGTGTTTTCCCCAAGCATTTCCTTTCCTTGGGATGCAATTTGTATTCGGGAGCCGGATGGTATACCATTCATAATTTGTAAATTTCCTTTT